CAGTACTGGAAGATGGAATATCATTTGCAAGGGATGAACCAATGGAAGAGAAGAACCTATTGAACTCAATAGCAGAATCAGAGGCTGAAAGCTGACCATCGTTATTAGACAGGAGAGTCGGTTTGTTATTTAAAGATTTCTTTGATCCCAATATTTGTGAAATTGTGCTCCAAGTTTGTTTAATGTTGCTCTTTATTTGAGTAAATTTATCTTCGTAGTAATTAGTTTTGGCTCGTCTAATTATCTTAGTTAGCAATAATGAGTAATTCTTTGAGAATTCTTTGGAGACAATTCCTAACCTATACTTCTTCTCAAGGTCGTGTTTTTTGTTAATGGATTTCAGTATTCCCTTTGTAAGCCAAGGATTGTTAAGCCTTTTGCTTGTGACTTGTTTTGTAAGCCTAGGACAGTGGGTGTTATAAAGGCTAAGAGTTGTTTGTAGAAAAGATTGCACTGCTAGGTTGATGTCCCCTATGTTACCTAATTCGGACTCCCAGTTGACATTATCAGCAGCAGTTATAAAATTGTTTATAGCAGTTTCATTGTGCAGCCTAAAGCTTAACTCCCTTGTTTCTAGAGGTGGTTTGCTAATGTTAGTTAAGAGAAATGTGGGGTAGTGGTCTGTAGTGCTATCGGTGATTATACCTGAAGTAAGCGGAGAGGTTATGTTGGTCCAGATGTGATCTAGAGTCGTGGCAGTGCTATCAGTGATTCTAGTAGGTCTAGTGATTAAGGGTATGAGGAGGCAGGAATTCATACAGTTGAGGAAGCTAACAGCAGTAGGGTGTTCTGGCTCGCAGAGGTCAATATTAAAGTCCCCTGCGATAATTAGGTGGTTTTTGTTCAGTCTGTTATCAAGTATTAGATTTCTAAGGTTTGAGTTGAATACAGACACATCAGTGTTGGGAATTCTATAGACTGCACCCACAGACAGGACAGACTCGGCACCCTTGACTCTGAAGCTGGCGAAGATATACTCCCCATAGCAGTCTCTAGTTCTAATTTCTTTTAGGCATGTTAGTTCTTGGTGGTAGTAAAGAGCAGTGCCACCACCTCTCTGAAGTTGACGACAGTTGTGAATTGCTGAGTAGTTAGGCATGTTAAAGAGTTGAGTAGTATCCTCTTTCAACCATGTTTCAGTAAGTATAATAAAAGAGAATTTGTTGCCAATAGTTTCAATCAAGGCACTAACATCATCGAAGTGTTTACCTAGGGATCTAACGTTCAAATTGATTACAGAGATATTGTGATTATGAGTTAATACATTGTTTACATCATGTGCTGCAAAATATCTGCAATTTAGATCATTAAAGTGATTATTGTCATAGATAGTGGATAAGAGGTTAAGTTCTGGGTCTATACTTGACTGCATAAAAGAAGCTGATTGTAGAATCAGAAATAAGTAGAAAAAAGCTATAAAATAGGGAAAAATATATACACAATACTGTACAAAACAAACACAAAAGGGGCTTACAGGGGTACAATGGAGTAAGGGAGTATGGCTAGGCTAGGCAACCTAGGCAATTAATGAGATTAAAGAAAAAACATGTAAACATGGACTATACAAAACACAAGATATGGAAATACAAAACAAAAAATATAAGCAAGACTAAGCAATACAAAAAAACAAAAAAACAAATTGAGCAAAAATGAGGTAGATTGCTTACGAGTACTCACAGGTACACTGTAAGTAACAATTTGCAATTTGAGATGCAGGCAAAGCCAGGGGTACAATGGAGTAAGGGAGCATGGCAAGGCTAGGCAACCTAGGTAATAAATGAAATCAAAGAAAAGTTGAATAATAAACATAGGCAAATTTAAGCTAATGATTAATAACTATAGATAGTTCAGTAATGACTGTATAATTAAAAAGACCTGAAGAACTACTTAATAACTCAATTAAATAATTTCGGTAAATGACTAGGTAAGAGTAAGTTAAAAATTAAGTCAGAAAATGAACCAAGGAGACTTAGGATACCTAGCCCCACTAGTTGACAGGGGGTTAATTAAGTTAATTCATTGGGAGTGATAAGGTGAGACAAACCACATTGGGAGAGGAAAGTGTTGAGGTTTTCTTCTCTAGTAATAGTAAACATTTTGCCCTCTGCGGTTTTTCTCACCTTTATCAGACCATCTCTAACGAAGCACTGATGAATAGCATCTGGGTTTTGTTGCCGGATTTGACGCAGGCGGTAGAGGATTTGCTGTCTGTTCCTGGTCAAGCACTCGTTGATGTATAATCCCTTCCGTAGGGATGCAGCTGTCCGGACTAGATTGGATTTCGTGAACTGGGAAGACAGCTTCAGGCGAATTTTCCGTTGATTTAGACCTGATGGATTCTTTTTGCCTACTCTGTAGGCAGCAACAACGTCAGTTTTGTTTAGATTGAGCTGCAATTTGTTTTTTAAGAGATCCTGAGCTATTTCGAAACAATTTTCACCTTCATGTTCCACAGGTATATCTTGGGACGACACGATAACAGAGTCTAGCAGCTTTTGCTGGTCTTGTTCCTCCTGGGAGACGGAACGTTGAGCTGAAAATGTACTGATACATGCAGTCATTTTGCTGAGAGCTTCCTCCTGCTTTTTTAAGGCTTCATCAGTTTTCCGAAGGTTGTTTACCTCATGGAGATCATTCAAATCATGCTGTAGTTGGTCTTGGCTAGCCTTGTAGTTTCTAATATCCTCGCGGAGGAGGGTTATTTCTTGTTGTTGTTGTGATGGAGATTAGCGCGGTTCGCTAGATTCTCGTTGAGAAGACTCAAGATGATAGTATTTTGTGACTCGAGGACTAGGCACAACTTTTTGAACCACTGATTCTCGGTCCAGTTAGTGAATTCCGGTGAGGGACCGGAAGCTCGCTTGAGTTGCTTATACTGGGATGCTAGCATGTTCATAGGAGAGGGTTGAGAGGACTCTGCCATGATTGGTTAGAATCCTTTGCGGTGGCGGCAGCATGCACTGGTACTCACAGCCGTAGAGGATTGTTTTGAAACTTATTTGAGATGGAATGAGTTGATTTTGGTCGGTTACTGTTTTGCTATAAATGCTTGGACTCCATGTACTTAGCTGCCTGTGGGTGGTGGTCTACATCATCTGGCGTAAGTTTAAGGGCTGATATACAGCTTATAGTGAGGAGCGTAGCGTGCGTAGCGTCCTCCCTCGACAGATGTAAATATCCTTGTCTGAAACTCTTCCCATTATCACCACACCAGAAATAAATATCTCTTCGATATCCCCAGAGTTAAACTTAATTTGTGTAAACACTCTATGCAAATAAAGGGACCCAGTTTATGGAACTCACTCCCTACTGAATTGAAAAGCTGTCCAACTTTTACATCATTCAAACTCAATACTAAAAAGTACCTAATTTCATCTTCATAGTTTTTCTCTTTTTGCCTTAAAATTGCACTGTATCTATTGCTACCCAATCTCCCAACCTTTTTTTTCCCAATTTGAACATCTTTACCATTGAGATCATTGCTGTTTTCTTATATGTGCTGCCATTCTATTGTATGGTGTTTATAAATCTTGTTTATCTGTATCTTTTGCTACCCAGTCTCCCAATCTTTATGTACCCATTCTGAACATCTTTACCATTGTGATCATTGCTGTCTTATATGTGCTGTCAATCTGCTGTATGGTGTCTATTAATCTTGTTTAAATTACTAATCAAGCTGTCAATGTAATCAATCAGAGCTTTAATATAACAATGTGCTTTAATATACTTACTTATCTCTCTCATCTCATTTTTCTCTTGTAATGTATCTTTCATTTATCAATTCTGATTGAAATTACCTACTTAAAATTATCTGCTAGATTAAGGACCTGCCCGAAACGCTGCGCGTACTAGTGGCTTTACAAGAATGTAATTACTGTACTATCCAATGTATTCTCACAAACCCAATGTACCTTCTTGTATATATATAAATAAATAAATAAATAAATAAATAAATAATTCGGTGGCCAACATGAGATGTATGACACTGAGATAGATTCATACATAAATACTAAATCTGCTATAATTAGAGAATTATATGATGAAGTGCCATGTATTACACTACATTTACAAAACCCTGTTCTTAAATGCAAACCATGCTCTGAAACTCTCCCTGGACAGATGTAATAGGACCCATTATCACCACACCAGAAATAAATATCTCTTTGATATCCCCAGGGTCAAACTTAATTTGTGTAAACACTCTATGCAAATTAAGGGACCTAGTCTATGGAACTCACTCCCTAGTGAATTGAAAAACTGTAAAACTCTTGCCTTATTTCAAAGCAAAACCAAAAAGTACCTAACTTCATCTATTTAGTTTCCTACACTGAGCTTTAAATTTGCTCTGTACCTAGTGGTACCCAATCTCCTAATTTTTATGTAATATCAAACAACCTTATCATTGTGTTCATTGCTGTCTTCTTTTATGTGCTAGCCATATGCTGTATTGTGACTACCAATTTTTGTCAACTACCATTCAAGCTGTCATTGCAATCAATCTTATATTGTTTCTGCTGTATTGTGCCTACCAATTTGTTGTCAACTACCATTTTAAGCTGTCATTGCAATCAATCATAGCTACCTATGTGCTTTAATATACTGTACCTATAATTTTCTCTCATCTTTTTTTTTTTTTTTCATTCCATGTAATCTGTTATCATTTTTTTGTCTATAAATTTTGCAAGTATTTACCTCCTTAAAATTTTCTTAGATTAAGGACCTGCCCGAAACGCTGCGCGTGCTAGTGGCTTTACAAGATTGTAATTACCATAATTGTATCCTCACATTCCTTATGTACATTCTTGTATATGCATAAATAAATAAATAAATAAATAAGTATTTATTCAGACGAGAACAGCAGCGAACATAAATCAGCGCATATACGAACGAAAGGGAATGAATGTATAAAATTCTCAGTGAACGAAGTTGTTATCCGAAACTGCAGTCGACGACTTGATCAGTCCCCGCCAGCGCATATGTTTATACGAAATAGTTCATATGTACGACATTGTCAGTGAGCGAATTGTTTTTTGTGTACCGAACCGACGTGTTCCGAAAAGATTAAGTACGATTCGACCAGTCCGGACAGTGGCGCTGCAGCTGTCATGATGCTTGCAGCCTCTAAAGCATTGCTCAATCCTTTTCGGCAAGTATTTGTCATGTTAATTATCATGGTATAGAGTATCCAGGCTAGTCTCCTGAATCTGTTGATGTGATATGCTGAGGTTATGCAAATGTCAATAATTTAATGGTATAATTAATTTATATTAGGTATCCTTTAAAATGGTCTCTCTCCATATGATTTATAAAAGTTTTCAGAACTAATGATTTGTATAAATCACATACAAATAAGACTTCTAAATCTAAAATAAAATAAATGGGACATTTGACAAGCCGCCGGTTTTCTGTCCTGACCGAGGCCACTAGAGATAGCGGCCTTCTATCAGTTTGTATCAATTCAGGTGAGTGGAGAGCTGGGGTGGGTAGTGTGGGCCGCCAGCTGATTGTCTCTCCAGTTACAACTTGACTTGTGTGTTCCCCCAGGTATGTCATCAAGTGTTGTGTGACTGTGGTGGTACATAAATGGACGCCTCGTATACTAGTATGGGTTTTATGGGTTTGTATTGAAGGTGTATGTGGTAAATGTGGTGTGTAACCCTTCCCCAAGGCCGAGCCCAGAGACAGAATTTTTCAGTCAGAGTAGTTAACAAATGGAATGCATTAAACAGTGATGTGGTGGAGGCAGACTCCATACAGTTTCAAATGTTGATTAGATAGGCTCAAGAATCTAGACACCAGTTAATTGACAGTTGTGAGGCGGGACTAAAGAGCCAAAATTCAACCCCCGCAAGCACAACTAGATGAGTACAGCAACACAGTAACACTTGAGTCAAGTATTACAATGGTCACAACATTCTTGCTAAGGATTCCACTTGACCTTTTACACAAGAGTCTAATGTTATATAAGCCACTTGCACCTTTCTCTCCAACCGGCTGAAGTATTTGTTGTTGCGACAAGTTTATCTGATAACTTTTATTTGGAGTGGCAGTACATTGACTGAGGTGAGCTCCAGCTTTTGTCACCCAGCTGCCGGCTCTACTGCGTTTGGTACCTATTATGTTAACTCTAATGACATTTAACCTTATTTTTTGTATCTGGCCACAACTTTATGGCCAGATATATGGACGGATGTGACAAGGCCGTTATGGTCACCACCCATGACTGGTTGAGCTAGGTAACACACTGTGACTGTGGAGTGTTTGAGCTAGGTAACACTGTGACTGTGGAGTGTTTGCTAGATAACACTGTCACCATGGAGTGTTTGAGCTAGGTAACTGTGACTGAGTGACTGTGACCGTGGAGTGTTTGAGCTAGGTAACACTGACTGTGGAGTGTTTGAGCTAGGTAACACTGTGACCGTGGAGTGTTTGAGCTAGGTAACACTGTGACCGTGGAGTGTTTGAGCTAGGTAACACTGACTGTGGAGTGTTTGAGCTAGGTAACACTGACTGTGGAGTGTTTGAGCTAGGTAACACTGACTGTGGAGTGTTTGAGCTAGATAACACTGTCACCATGGAGTGTTTGAGCTAGGTAACACTGTGACCGTGGAGTGTTTGAGCTAGGTAACACTGTGACCGTGGAGTGTTTGAGCTAGGTAACACTGTGACCGTGGAGTGTTTGAGCTAGGTAACACTGACTGTGGAGTGTTTGAGCTAGGTAACACTGACTGTGGAGTGTTTGAGCTAGGTAACACTGACTGTGGAGTGTTTGAGCTAGATAACACTGTCACCATGGAGTGTTTGAGCTAGGTAACACTGTGACCATGGAGTGTTTGAGCTAGGTAACACTGTGACCGTGGAGTGTTTGAGCTAGGTAACACTGACTGTGGAGTGTTTGAGCTAGGTAACACTGACTGTGGAGTGTTTGAGCTAGGTAACACTGACTGTGGAGTGTTTGAGCTAGATAACACTGTCACCGTGGAGTGTTTGAGCTAGGTAACACTGACTGTGGAGTGTTTGAGCTAGGTAACACTGACTGTGGAGTGTTTGAGCTAGGTAACACTGTGACTGTGGAGTGTTTGAGCTAGGTAACACTGAGACTGTGGAGTGTTTGAGCTAGGTAACACTGACTGTGGAGTATTTGAGCTTGGTAACACTGTGACTGTGGAGTGTTTGAGCTAGGTAACACTGTGACTGTGGAGTGTTTGAGCTAGGTAACACTGTGACTGTGGAGTGTTTGAGCTAGGTAACACTGTGACAGTGGAGTGTTTGAGCTAGGTACCTAACTCAAAAGAGTGCTAAAAAGTACCTAATTTCATCTTCATAGTTTTTACCTTGTTGCTTTAAAATTGCACTGTATCAATTACTACCCAATCTCCCAATCTTTATGTACCCAATCCGAACATCTTTACCATTGTGATCATTGCTGTCTTCTTATATGTGCTATCAATCTGCTGTATGGTGTCTATTAATCTTGTTTAAATTACCAATCAAGCTGTCAATGCAATCAGAGCTTTAATATACAAATGTGCTTTAATATACTTACTAATCTCTCTCATCTCATTTCTTTTGGCAATGTATCTGTTATTTTATTAATTCTGCTAGAATTTACCTACTTAAAATTATCTGTTAGATTAAGGACCTGCCCAAAACGCTGGGCGTACTAGTGGCTAGTGGCTTTACAAAATTGTAAATACTATGCTATGTAATAAAATAAATAAATAAATGTTTATTTAGGTAAGGTACATACATACAAGAGATTTTATAAAGTTTGTTGGATTAATAGATAGAGCTAGTACATACAATGCCTAAAGCCACTATTACGCAAAGCGTTTCGGGCAAGGTGAAGTATTCTCACAAAACCAATGTACCTACTTGTATATATATGAATAAATAAATAAATAAATAAAGAGGTAACGCTGACCGTGGAGTGTTTGAGCTAGGTAACACCATGACTGTGGAGTGTTTGAGCTAGGTAACACTGTGACCATGGAGTGTTTCAGCTAGGTACCTCTACCACTCTACCAAAAACCGTTGAAGTGCCACAGGCAGCATCTTGGGACCTCTCCTATTTCTTATATACATCAATGATCTGCCCAATGTCTCTAACATTCTAAAACCTATTTTGTTTGCTGATGATACTACCCTCATCTACTCTAACCCCAACCCACATACACTAAATAATGTTGTTAATAATGAACTAAAAAAAGTCCACTTTTGGATGTCAACCAACAAACTAACACTTAAAATAGAAAATACTACTACATCTTTTTTTTTTTTTTTTAGATATATACAAGAGTTGTTACATTCTTGTACAGCCACTAGTATGCGTAGCGTTTCGGGCAGGTCCCTGGAATACGATCCCCTGCCGCGAAGAATCGTTTAAGCTAGGTAACAATCTTATTTCTTATTGTAACAATCTTATCTTTCAATCCCTTCCAATCTTATTTGGAAGCAAATCTACAAATGCAATTCAGCTTCAGATAGACAATGTAAATATTAGCAATAAATATGATGGAAAGTTTTTGGCATATTCCTAAACAAGAGACTCAGCTTCAGTACCCACATACAACACATAACTAAGAAAGTCTCTAAAACAATTGGTATACTCTCCAAAATCAGATATTATGTACCTAACTGTGCTCTCATCTCTCTATATTATGCACTAATCTATCCCTATCTTAATTATGGTATTTGTGCATGGGGTTCAACCACTGCAAACCATCTCAAGTCCATCATCACCCAGCAAAAATCTGCTATCAGAATAATAACAAATTCTGCTTTCAGACAACACTCAGCCCCCTTTTTTAACTCCCTAAACATGCTAAACATAATCTCACTCCGCAAATTCTCTTGTGTCAACTATATTTGCAAAACCCTGTTCTTAAATGCAAATCCTACTCTGAAACTCTCCCTGGACAGATGTAATAGGACCCATTATCACCACACCAGAAATAAATATCCCTTTGATATCCCCAGGGTCAAACTTAATCTGTGTAAACACACTATGCAAATAAAGGGACCCAGTGTATGGAACTTACTCCCTATTGAATTGAAAAGCTGTCAAACTTTTGCGTCATTCAAAAACAATACTAAAAAGTACCTAATTTCATATTTATAGTTTTTTACCTTTTGCTTTAAAATTGCACTGTATCTATTGCTACCTAATCTCCCAATCTCTATGTACCCAATCCGAACATCTTTACCATTGTGATCATTGCTGTCTTCTTATATGTGCTGTCAATCTGCTGTATGGTGTCTATTAATCTTGTTTAAATTACCAATCAAGCTGTCAATGTAATCAATCAGAGCTTTAATATACCAATGTGCTTTAATATACTTACTAATCTCTCTCATCTCATTTTTTTTCTTGCAATGTATTTGTTATCATTTTATAATTCTGCTAGAATTTACCTACTTAAAATTATCTGTTAGATTAAGGAGCTGCCTGAAATGCTGCACTTACTAGTGGCTTTACAAGATTGTAAATACTATGCTATGTATTCTCACAAACCCAATGTACCTTCTTGTATATAAATAAATAAATAACCCACGAGCACCACACCAGAAACAAATACCTATTTGATATTCCAAGAGTATGACTTAATCAAACTAGAAATGCTCTACAAATCAAGGGACCCAGAATGTGGAATGACCTTCCCAATCATGTTAAAGACTGTACCTCTCCCAACCAGTTTAAGATAAAAACTAAGTACTACCTAATTAACTCCATGTAACCTACCTTACCCCCTAAATGTCAACCCAGGTCTACTATTTTAAACAATGCTATTTGTTACCCAAATTGTATATATGCTATTTTTCTGCCAACTTTTTTAAAGTATTTTTTTAATAAAAAATAAATAAAATAATAAGAAAAGCTTTTTTTTAAAGTTTAAATCAACTTGTTTAGTTTTAAGGGAAAGGATTACCTCATTAACACTTTCCGGCTCCAGGCGAATGTTAAAAAAACAACCGTAAGTGCTCCCGGCGTTTTGCCGCGTAAGCGTAAAAACAAAAATGTGTGTACTCTTTTTACTCTCCTGACCTTAGTTCTTGAGCTATGTATTTCATTTTGGTACCAACGTGTTCGCAATAAAATTCTCTAGAAGAACATCAGTAAAAAAAGTCACGAAACGTATAGGGATA